ATTCCATTGACTCTTATCTAATGTCAAAATAGCTCTAATGGTTGAGTAAATTGCTGTGCATAGGCACATTTAGTAATAAATCAGTTTAATTTGGACTTCACATGTGGTCCTGGTACTTAACAAATTCACTGACAAATTGTATCCTGTACAACAGTAATAAGATGATATATGCCATTATTGGATTTATGGATTAGATTCAGACTCCATCGGAATCCAAAATGCAATTAATTTAGTCTGGGACTTGTTACTAGTTAAATGGATACTGGTGCTCTGGTTAGTGCTTTGGACAGTGATTAGATGCAGTTACGATGATGATGAAAAAGTAACTTTATGACCAATGCCCACATTTGCTATCTTGGCACCATCTCACTATCAATTACGAGTTGAGCAGTACGCTCAGTTAGCACGTGACCCATTTTTGTCTCTTCTTCTTCTTCCTCTTCTTGAGCTGTTTTTTTTCTACAGCACAGTACATCCCTAAAAAGTGCTAACCATAAGGCACGGGTGTCAAACTCGCCTTGTTTGCATTGCATTTTTTTTGCATTGCTGGAGCTGGGTTGGGCGCAGCCTCCGCATGATGCAACCAGCCTGTGGGCTGGCAGTTTGACACTCCTGCCATAAGCTCTGTGACCTAATTAGTTGATTGCACCAGCTACAACTGCTACCTGTAACAGACAAGGCCCTAGTCAGTTTCACACTAAAAGCTTTTTTTGCCTTCTAAGGAGCTTGCGGCTGCATCCACCTGTGTGTTAGGCAAACAGCTGGCACTAACACATCCCTTTCTATGTATTTTCACCTTGTGTGCCTGCTTACACTCTTGTAATCTCTTCCTCTCCAGTGAATATAAATATAAAATCAATTCTTTTCTTTTTAATGATTCCAGTCTTAGGGTGGTCATTCCAAAGTGCAGGGAAATGGAAGGAAAGGGGTATAAGATTTTTATCCAGACTTCCTTGTGAATCAAATCCCAGAAATCTTTCCCACTATTTGCATTCCCCAGCAGTTGGGGCCATATCTTTTTGACATTATAAAGCAAAGAAAAGCTGAAGTAAATACATTAGTACAGTCATGTCATATGATTTTTCGCTTAGTAGTTGCTTCCTTTAACTACCAAGTTGCTGGTCCCAATTGTAGTTGTTAAAGAAAGACTGCATGTATTATGTTGGGTGAATGCATCACATCACTTTTTGAAATGAGTTTAAGAATGGGGTGATTTTATTAATTAAAGGGTTTTGGATAAATGTTTATTTCCGTTATTTTCTTGAAGGTAACCTTTGCATAGAAAGAGTATTTGGCATAGTGCTTCAGGTATCAGGCTGGAAATTTAGAGACTGAGTTCTAGTCCTTTTTTAGGCATAAAGCCAGCTGGGAAACCTTGGCTAATTAGTTAGTCTACACCAGGGGTGTCAAACTGCTGGCCAGTTGCGTCATACGGAGGCCACGCCCACCCCAGCTCCAGCAATGCAAAAAAAGTCGCGACATGTCACATGACGCGGCGAGTTTGACACCCATGATCTACACTGACTAAAGGAACAAAAAAGATCCCTCTCTTTATACAAAAGATCAAATCTATTTGATATAGTTTGGACATTATCAAGGTGCTATATTAGATATAGTTAAAATTGTCTCCCTGGTCTGTATTGCCAAAGCAGACTTAAGAAGATTAGATAAATAGATTTGTTACAGAGATCAGAAAGTGATACATGCAAGAACTTCTGCAGGAATCCTGCCCTTGATGTATGTTAGTCTCACAGTTTGAAACCTGGGTTTCTTTCTGCATTTTTGAGTCAACACCCATATGAATTCCTGTGTTGAAGGTTTTTGCTATCCATTTCTTGCTTACAAAATCTCTTTTCCTGGAATATGAACCAAAAGTAGACTTGACCAGCTTCAACCCTATAGGAACAGTAAAAATGACAGTAAAAATCTGAAATTGGAAAGTAAAGAATTTGTTTTTATGAAGAAAGTTCAGATTAAAGTGAAGAGAGCAACAATAAATAGTGTAGTTTTTTCATGATATATCTTTAATTTTACTTGATTCAGTAATGGCATTTTGGGATTCTGATATAGCTTCATACTTAGAGCTCATGGTGGAAGATCCAGTGACAGTACGTAAAAATGGAATTTGAATTTAGTATAAAACTATAACTCTTTTGATAATATTAGAAGCATACATTGTGAATGACCAGAAGAGTGTTCTGTGAAAAAAGTCCTAGTTATAACACACAATAGAAACTAGATGATTTAGGTGTTGTTCTTTGCTTAAGAAAACAATGCTTGTTTAATATTTGAAAAACAGTAGAGGCAAATAGGGATTAGAACTAAGATGCATTGAAGCAGTACTGAGAGTGCTACTAGTAGCTTCATGCTTAAACTGCTACAAAGTTAAAATACAGTAAAAAGCAACTGATATCTTAAAATTTGTAGTAACTTTGTGCCTTGTTGAGGCTTACTATAGATTATTAACTGTTATCAGATTTTCAGCCATAGTTGCAAAATTTTATTTGTATTTGTGTAATTAGTTTATATTTCCCTAGCAGTTGTACAAGTAGTGAGCAAGGAATGACGAAAAATCACAACTGCCATTTGTTTAAGGATATTAAAAATACTGAAACTGAATAGACATCTTTGCTAGTTTTGTGTAGACTGCATAGCGAACAGTGTACTATATCAGTCCAAGAAAATGGACATGGAAGGAGACAAAAAGTGAAAGAAACAAGAATGAAAGTAGAATGAGTGTAGGATGAAAAAGTTTCAAAATGAAGGAAGGTTGAAGAAAGAGGATGAGGAAGGAAGTATAGGAATAGAATAGAATAGTAACAAAGTTGTTTTTCTAATCTTAGGTTTGTTTAAAAAGTACATAAAAGTGTATACATACACAGTAAGGGAAGATTTTTATGTCATCCACCAAGGCAAAAAAAAAATCTAGTATAAATCTGACCTTTTAGTGGCCATAAGAAATTATGTTTATTTTTGCCCCCAAACCCATTCCAAATCCAGGGAATGTATACATGGCATAAACTGGATGTGTGCTAGCCACCTCCAATTTATCTGAACATACACTGGAATTTCAATAATTGCCCTCTTCTGCAAATCTGGAAAATTGGTGGCTAGAGAATGTATCTTTTGGCTCACTCTGCATGTAGCATCTGATTCCCTAGGGCAGTGGTTCTCAACCTTTTTAATGCCGCGACCCCAACTGGTCGTAAGTCGAGGACTAAACCGGTCGTAAGTCGAGGACTAAACCGGTCGTAAGTCGAGGACTACCCAACCGGTTGTAAGTCAAGGACTTTCCCTGCCCGGGAGCGCCGTGCATGCGTGGTTCCACTCCCTGCGCCGGCCGAGACGGAGCAGGCCGACCACCAGCTGGCCCAGCCCAAGGGAGGTAAGGCACCCGCCAGAAAAGGGAAAAAAGTGGCGGACAAAAAAATGGCGGACAGCCTTGCTTGGCGACCCCCGTGAAATGGTCAATCGACCCCAAATGGGGTCCCGACCCACAGGTTGAGAACCACTGCCCTAGGGGGATCATGACCTTTCAGAGGAATAGTAACATGAGCAAACCTCAAAGTAGCATTAGCTCCGAGATAATTGAATTAGCTCTTCCACATTTATTGACATTACAAGAGACACAATTTGCCTCTGCAGATGTGGCCTTTGCTGCACAATCCAGCAGAATGCTCTAAGCTGGAAGATGTTAAACCCAGTAGCTAATTTCTGTAGGATCTATTTTTCTGGTGATCAGGTTGAAGTGAACCATGACATATTCTTGTCTGGACAGATAACTCAACAGTATTCAGTGAAGTAGCATATGTGTAATCCAGATTAAATCCTTTTCCTTTATGTTTCATTATATGGATTTATTTATTGGTTATAGGAAATGTAGCCTATATAGCTGAAGTTATGACTAAAGGGAATTTTCTCTAGAATCTGGAATACAATTCTGCTTTGCCCTGCCTTCTTACCTGAACAGGAGTTAATTTTTTTTTCAAGTTTATCATCTAGTAATCAGAAAAATGCTTCATGGTAAGATCAGATGCAGATCCTTCAGAGTGTTATGGAATAATAGAAATGATATTATAAAGCTGCAAACAATTTTTATGCAATTATACATTGTACAAAATAGAGGTGGCATTTTTTGTACACTTCCCTTTGTATTGACAACTGCACATTTGTAGATTACTGTAGATATTAATTCATTCTGGTACATCCCTAGATCTAATGTAATTTTTATATTTTATTAAATCAAACCAATCAAATGAGTGTGTCATTGTGTGTGTGTGCTTTTGTCTTTCCTTGTGCCCATAGATTGTGATAACAATGTGAGTTATTTTTTAAAAAAGAAACCAAAACAAACTAAATTATTAATAGTCCTATTCCTTTCCTTTTTACAGAAACCAAAGCCCTGAAACAAAACCTAATTCAAACACTGAATTTCAAACTTTCAAAATAGGTGAATATAACCAACAAAAATAGATTCAGTTCTACAAACAGAAATGTTAACATCCAATGGATTCAACTCAAAATGTGCCAATACTAAGACAAGCCCAAATCATGTCAGTTAGGCAATCTTCTGCTGATCTCCAAAAGCAAGGAGACCAAGCCCAACATCTACTAAATGTTCTCTGAGGCATCAAATATATTTAAAAGCCCATTTTCTGTCATGTTAGCATATTTTTTTAAAAAAAGAAACCAGGTTTACACTTGTGGTGTAAAGTTCCATTTTTGCGACTAACTCACTGAATCTGATTATTCTAGAAGTAACATAAACAGTATTAATTCAATTTAAATATTCTAATGTCTCATAAAAATGTGTTATGAGATTCAAGAGCCGCAGTTGATTCTTTGAAGACTTTTAACAAACAGAATTTTAGAAAGCAATGTGTCTAGACGACATCTTTTGGAGAAAGATATTGATTTTGTCGTCAATTTATGTTCCTGTTCTTTGTATTTATATTACAGAAAGTTAATATTGTGCCCGGTGACCCTTTTCAGGCCCACTAGCCATGCCAGGCATTGTGGTGTTCCGTCGTCGCTGGTCTGTGGGAAGTGATGATCTTGTTTTGCCCGCCATTTTTCTCTTTCTTCTTCATACAACTTGGTAAGTGAAAATATGCTTAAGAGGAAGACTTCTATTGTTAGGTAATAAGTCATTGATATTTGTTTTGTAATTTTTATGTCCAGGTATTAATACTATGTTGCAATTTAAAATATTCTGCTAAAGTTCATATATACAAAGCAGTATGGAAGTGGATCTATGCATGTAGAAGAGTTCAGGGTCAAATAATTCTGTTTTAATTTTTTGTTCCACTGCTATGGTTCTGTAAGGCCTTCAGGGAAGTTGTTGGAATATCCAGTTTATTCTTAAGTCAGCTAAAAAGAATTGAAAAAGAACAGAATTATTAAAGAGAAAGGGAACCACAGTAATTATATCCATGTTTGTAATAGATGATAACTGATATGATATAAATCCAATCAAATCATACTGTCAGTGTCAAAAGAAAAGATAGAATTGGTTTGAAGGGTTTCTGTGTAGATACTACCAATGAGAAAGCTGAACCATTTTGGCATCCAGTAAGAAACTATTAAAGGCAGGGCTTCTTGGATCAAACTACATTTTGAAAGCTCAAAACCAGATTTGAGGCAAATGCAGTTTTTCCATATCAGCCCATTAATATTTTTGTAATTAAAGTGAGTTGTACTTATTCCTAAGGGAAAAAAATTCAATATCTATCTACAGTGGTGTTATCTTTATTAGAAGTAAATATATACAAAACCATAAACACATTTTTGAGATCTCCAGATCTTTTTGTTATACAAAATGCTACGAGAAGTTGATGGAAGTGAGAAAGGAGATGAAGATACACGCTGAGTTGGTTGGTTGGATGGATGGACAGACAGACACTCCCAATCAGAGATTTAACAGACAGGAAGAAAGGATTTTTTTATGTGAAAGGTTAATGACCTCTCCTCAGTTCCGATACCTAATATTAATATCTGACCTCAGAATTCTTTTGCTGTGAGACTGTGTTTCCTGTTGTGAGATTTCAAGATTCTAATATAAAACAAATTAGTACTTGCTAGCCTAATGTCAGTTATCCAAACTCTGCTGTTCATGGACAAAATGATAGTTGGTGGTAATTGCATTTATGTGTCGTCTTCATCTTGTTGGGTAAGTTCCTCATGAGCAAACAAATTTATGACATTTAGGAGCCTGTGATAGTTAAGATGCACTGTATGTCTCTGTGTGTGTGAGAGAGTGCATGTGTGCTCATGTGTTGGCAAGCATGGTAAATACCATGCTGGGATAGAAACATTGTAACTTGCATGTGGGATTTAAAAAGCATGTGCCTGATAACATTTTCTCCTGTCCTCTGCCAACAATTGAAGTATGTGCAGGTTTTTGCCGTTCCCATTTCCAGGCCTCTTTACATGATGGAGAGACAGATTAATCTCAAGGGGATTGATGCAGCCCTTTTCCCCCCCTTTGTATTGCAGAGGAACACAGAGTGTGTTCTGGGACACTATCCAGAAATCAGTATGTGGGTGGAAAAAAAACTTTTTTAGCTAACCACCAGCATTTTATAGCAGCACAAGAAATGCATAGCCCAGATAAATGAATGATATTAATAAAATATAGCTTTGCTATTGGCTGAAGTGATATATTCTATTAACTGAGAATCCCATAACCACCTGTACTTAAAATCAACTAAAATCAATTTGATAGTCCATTCAGGAACTGAAACGTTGACTTCATGAGTAATATCAAAATAATTTGTCTGTGCATAAAATATTACACATGCTACAATATCTTAGTAAGTTTCTTATGGGATAAGCTTTTATTGGCAGCAGTTAATTTCATAAACTGCAAACAGTTTTGGTTATTTATATAGTGCTAACTATTCCCAGGAATTAAAAAAGAGATATTTCCTTTCTCAGCTTATATAAAAACAAAACAAATGACAACAGGTTTTTTTTTAAAAAATAAATAAAACAAAACTAATAATCATTAGGCTTCTTGATCTTATATATTGTCTCAAGCTTTGACTAGAGAATGTGGCTTGTTTTACGGCAGGTTCATCATCCTTTCTGTGGTGCTCTTTGGACTGGCATACAATCCCAATGAGACCTGCTCTCTCAATCTGGTGGACCATGGCAGGGGTTATCTGGGCATTTTGCTCAGCTGCATGATCGCCGAAGTTGCAATCATCTGGCTCAGCATGCGTGGCAGCATCTTGTACACAGAACCCCGGGATTCCATGCAATATGTGCTATACGTCAGACTGGGTAAGAGGCAGTGGCCAAGAGGCTTTTATTAATGTTTGATCTTGATGCAGCTGGCTGTCGTGCTCTCAAAGGATTCTCTGTTCATAATATTTACAAACACGGAGTGATCCAAGGGCATTTTCAGTTGTGGCACCAAAAGAAGTCTGCATCTGGATATGCCTACTGTAGTTAAATATTATTTTCAAGTTTTACTACTTTTGTAGATGTGGGAAAACATGCTCCTATATTCCCCCAAATTGGAAAATATGCCTACTCAAGCCTCCATAAAATTTATATCAAATTTTCTTCGGTAAATGCTCATTTATGAATTTTTATTGTTAAAAAATTCACAGCCTCATTAATGAAATACATATATTTTGTCTGATGCCTTGACAGTGGTGCATGTGTTTTATTTCTTGTATTCAGAAAAGACAAACATGTTAGTATGATACTTTTAAGGATAAGTAAATATAGTTTACTATTCTGTGAAGATAAACATATGCTATAATTATCTTTCTCAAATTCACCATTATTTCCTTTGTTCAGTTACCATGAGCTTTCATTTGTAAAAAAAATCTGATACTTATCTATCCTTCCCAAAAGTGTGTGTGGAATATATTATGCGATTCACTCCAAGCCTTCAAAAAATGGCTACATACAGATATATATATATATATATGCTATAGAGAGATAGGAAATAAGACATTTTGGATGCTTTCTTTGTTCATTTTTATAGTTAAGGTTCCCCATTATCATTCTTTAATATTTTTCTCCTAGAGAACTACATTGCATGTGCATCTGGGTAAAAGCAAAAAGTTTTAGAATGACATTTATTTTTATTTAGTTATGGCATCGATGAAGGTCATGCAATCATTGATATACAAAAGTAATAAAACACATTATACATAGAAACACAAATACAAGTTTAACAATATAAGTTTAAATAAAACATCAGCAAATGTATATGTGGGCAATACAATATACCAGATAAAATATTAAATTAAGGTAAAACCGTGATAAAATCACCAGGATATAGCACCACAGAATAGGATAGATGTTATAATTTAATATCTAAGCAAGCTAATCATCTAACTTCTTCTGGTGTGGCTGCAATGAGTTCGTCGCATTTAGAATGACACATCAGAATGGATATTTTTCTCATTGCCTAAGAATTATTTCTAAGAAATATGGTGAAATCAGTTGTTGTTGTTGTTACTGTTGTTGTTGTTATACCGTTGTACACTCTGCTCTTATTGTTCCAGCAATCTTGGTGATTGAATTTGTCTACGCTATTGTGGGCATTGTTTGGTTAACCCAGTACTACAGTTCCTGCAATGATGTTACTGCCAAGAGTGTTACTTTGGGTATGTATTTAAAAGTATTTATAAGTATTTAAAATCACATATAGTGTATTGAGATTTAACCTGTTCATAGACCTAAACAAGAATAATCTTTGAAGTCTTGCTGTTTCGCTATTGTAATTTAGTTTTTCTAAAAACATTCATGTACATTTATTCATAGGCATAACAATATTATTATTATTATTATTATTATTATTAATAATAATAATGATGGTGATGATGATGATGATGATGATGATGATGATGATGATGATGATGATGATGATGATGATAAAGTTGGAGGTCATCTAGTCCAACCCCCTGCTCAGGAGGAAACCCTATATCATTTCGGACAAATGGCTGTCCAGTTACAACTAGAAAGAATATAACTTTTGATGTCTAACTAGGCTGTGCTAAAAAAAGTGCTATATACATCTATTTACGTTTATGCCATGATCCTGTAATGGATTGAAGATGTAGACTGAACAAAGTGGTAATGCATATGTAACTATTTGGGGTCACTATTATTATCCACAGTATTTTTAGTCATTGAGGCTTGCTTGATATCTCTCATTAAATATATTTTGTGATATATTTATGATGCTACAGAATCTCCAAGAATATCAGTAGTGTTATACAAAAATTGTCTTTATCTTGTCAAAGAAAATCAAACGAAGTATTACTCAGTAAAAAAGGAATACATAAAATTTAAGAAAAAAGTACAAATGAGTCAAATCCGCCACTCACAACTTGGGCCTTATCCTCTGTCTTCTCTGTTTCACTAGGAATGGTTGTCTGCAACTGGGTGGTCATTTTGAGTGTCTGCATCACTGTCCTGTGCGTCTTTGATCCAACAGGACGGACTTTTGTTAAATTGCGAGCCACAAAGAGGAGACAGCGTAATCTAAGAACATATAACCTGAGGTAAGAAAATTGTAATTGTAGAAGTTGATTCAGGGTTTTTATAAAATAGATTTCCAATTTAGATAAATGCAATCTATTGTTTTTAATGTAGTTGAACACAAATGAGTGTATTCAATATGGCAGCAAATAGTGCAGTTTATATGTTGGGGATACTTTTTTTGAATTGTAAATAATAAAGGCCTTGTAAGCACAATTTTGTTTTCCAGGTATATATTCTTTTAAAAAATATATTTTACAACATTTATATTCCTTTTTACTGTGCACTAAAGGTCAATTGTTTGCTCACAATTATACTACCATGTACATTAGACTAAAAGGTAGTGGTTTAGCCTAGATCATCTAAGTATAAACGGAATGTGTTATATGTCATTCACCCCAAGCCACAAAAAATGTGTACTTGGTTTGTCATAACTAAATGAGCCAGGAGTATTTGACAACAAAATAGTATTTTCAGCTGTGCAATTTTCTATTTTTTAAAATAAAAAAGTTAAAATAGATATGCAAACTTTTATAATTAATTCAGTCTAGCCAGTGTGATTTTTTTTCACAAAAATATAGGGTTTGTGACCAAAATACAATATAACATTTTCCATCATTTTGTTTTCCTTCACAATCCATAGAGCAGGGGTAGGCAACCTTGACTCTTTTATGACTCGTGGACTTCAACTCCCAGAATTCCATGCTGGCTCAGGAATTCTGGGAGTTGAAGTCCACGAGTCATAAAAGAGCCAAGGTTGCCTACCCCTGCCATAGAAGTTGCCTACCCCTGCCATAGAGGATCATACTTCTATAATATTGCCAAGGTTGCTCCTTGT